CTCTTTTAACACACAGCCAGATCTAATGAAAAAAAGGTACATAACATGACATCTAAATATGTGCTTGTTGATACTGCCTAGGTTATATTACAGTTCAGTTCTAAAAATATAGGGTGTCACTTTCTCTGCACTAAATTAACCATTTGATCAACTATATGTAGACGTTGCCATTCTGTGCATCTCAAATGCATCTGGGCTCAAAATGGCCCTACTATCAACAAATATCAAATAAATAAATAAAAAATAATAAATAAATAGTTTTTTTTAATGGGGTGTCAGTCAAAATTAAGTTCAGTATTTTAATGAGTCATGTGGTTCATGTAAATTGTATTGAATAGTCTCCACTTAACCAGAAATCTTCATATGCTAATAAATGGGATGAAAATTAGGTGGCCTATAGTCTGTTGAAATGTAAATATCCAGATACTGTTGAGTACTGGGTAGAGAGAATAAAATGAAAAAGTAAAAGATTTCTACAGTTTAGTGGAGATGAAATATATGGTGGGTCATTTTTTTAGATTACTTCATTCATGGTTGGAGAGGGAATATTCTTTTTAAACTGCACTGATACAATGTCATGTTGGTTGTGAGCAAAATAAATAATTGGCTTAATAACTTTTTTTTCTAAACACAATCTAACTTTTTCTTACACTGTTTACCTATTTAAAATGTATTATATTTTATCCAAATTGTTCTAATATTTGCTTTAGAAAATTATTGAGTGCTAATTGTGCATCTGTCCGTTTGCACTGTGCCCTATGTTTTTGTAAGGAGCATGTTTGTGTGAATGTAGGGGTGTGTTTGTATATAATTTTGGTGGTATTTCACACAGGGGTGTGTTTGTATGTAATGTTGACGTTTCAAACCACGAGTGTGTTTGTATGTAGTGCTGCAGTTTGAATGCAGGGGTGTACTTGTGTGTAGTATTGGTGTTTTCAATGCTGAGATGTATGCACATGTACATATGCACTGCCAAACACACTGTGACACACATACACACAGATAAACACATTCAGACACACAGATATACACACTGACACACATGCAGATACAGACTGACACAGATACACACACTGACACAAACAGACACACAGATACACAACCTGACACACATGCAGAAAAACAGACACACAGATGTAAACAATGACACAAACGCAGATACAGAGATAAACACACTGGCTATATACAGATACACAGACAGATAAATAAGTACAGAGATGTCCCTATGACCTAAAGTCAGAAGGACACAGGAGGATCGTCAATAAAATTAAAATCGTCATATGCAATGTCTACCTTTATTGAAAACATGAAAGTAAAAAATAATAATAAAATAAAGAAAAAATACCAATTGAATAAACACAAAATACCAACTCAGTGACTAGTAATTGGATGGGGAGAGAGTGGGTAAGTTGGACTGGGTGGGGGTAAATGAAGTAGAGGGTGTTGGGAGTAAAAAAAAAGCTCTGCACTGTATATCTAGAACACAAAGTCATACGTCTGTACTTATTTATATGTACTTATAGGGTTAACCCCTAATTCGATCCCTTTACACACCACACACGTCTCTCCTTGAGGGATTTTCTGTTTGTTTAGTTACACAGACAGATATACACACAGATACACACACTGACAACATACATATACATATAATAACAGACAGATACCCACACTAACACACATAGAGACACGCAGATACACAACCTGACACACATGCACATGCAGATACACATACACACAGATAAAAACACTGACACACATGCACATACACACAGATACACACATTAACACACATGAACATACACACAATGAAACACATGTAGATACATGGATACACATAGACTACATAGAGGAACACAGATAAACTGACTAAAAACAGATGTACACACTGACACATACAGATACACATAATGATAACATAAAGATACACACTGACAGACACACTGACACACACAGACACACTGACAAACATACTGACACACACACAGATACACACTGACATACATACTGACACACACTGACCAACATACTGACACATACACTGACAGATATACTGATACACACACACACACACACACACAGGCATGCATACTGACATAAAGTGAAAATAATCTCATATCCAGAAGTGGAATATACAAAGAAAAGAGGGAATAAGACAGATGGAAATAGCTTTGAAACTGGAGAAATATAGGGATTCACCAAAACCTATAGGAACATTAAAAATTACACTATTTAATATAGTGCGGGGTATCCAGGAGCTAATCAGTAGATTGGATGGATATTAGATAAATATGTGATATAATCTTTGATATAGATACAATTTAAACAGATTATAAAAACATAAATATATGCTGCTACAATGTCCAAGTATAATATATGCGGTGTAGGTATCCTTATCCCTGATTGAAAAAGCAACACAAGGTGAATGATACCAGTATCAAATAATATACTTTCATAAAAATAAAAGATCAAGATAGTGTCCACTTATTATAAAGCATACCAGTATGTGGAACTGGTTGCTAGAAAGCAATATAGAAGAATATCGCTAAAACCACTTAAAAAGTGAGAGAAACAACTGGGAATAAGAGTAAAAATAATTTATTATCAAAACTTTAAAAATAAAGATAAAAATCAATGCACAATATAGTAACCAGTCTATCGGAGGTCAAAATAGCAAGAAAACCTTAATCCCAGACCGTCATGGATGAGGATACTGTTGGTAAGTTTGTTCTGTGGATCCCAACCACCAGTGAGGATGGCATGCGTGTCACAGTGCGTTCCACTCCGGACCTCACTCCAAGGGGTAAGCACTGTTCTCACGGGATGATGCTTGTAATGGGTCCAGAACCCGAAGTGGATAGAGGTTCTTGCAAATAGATCATGGCTGGCAATAGCTGTGCTTCGTCCGATACTTTGCATTGTCTAACGCGTTTTGTAGGGGTATAGCCCTACTTCATCAGAGACTGTACAGCTGTGCTTCATCCAATCCTCTGCTTTGTCTAACGTTTTTCGTAGGGGTACAGCCTACTGTACAGTGCCTGATAAAGTAGGGCTATATATATATATGTTGTTTTCTAGCAACCAGTTCCTCATACTGGTATGCTTTATTATAAGTGGACACTATCTTGATCTTTTATTTTTATGAAAGTATAATATTTGGTACTGGTACCATTCACCTTGTGTTGCTTTTTCAATCAGGGATAAGGATACCTACACCATATATATTATATTTGGACATTGTAGCAGCATATATTTATGTTTTTACATTCTGTTTAAATTGTATCTATATCAAAGATTATATCACATATTAACGGATATTCATCCAATCTACTGATTAGCTCCAGGATACCCGCACTATATTATATAGTGTAATTTGTATCATGCATACTGACATACACACACCCACACACTGACAGACATACTAACACACACACTGACAGACATACTGATACAGACAGGCATAAATACTGACAGACACACATACTGACAGACACAGACATAATGACAACACATGTAGATACAGATATATACACACTGACATACATGCAGATACAGCCTGACACAGTTACGCACACTGACACATACAGACACACAGATACACAACCTGACACACTTGCGGAAACTCAGACACACAGATGCACACACTGACACACGTGCAGATACACAGATAAACACACTGACTATATACAGATACACAGACAGATATACACACACAGATACACACACTGCCAACATACAGATACACAGATACATATAATAACATACAGATACACACATATACAGACATGTAAATCCCACAACCTGAAACACTGCTTACTCTGTTGCTGTGGCAAGTTCAAATTGTATCATATTCTATTCATGAGAAAGACAGTTGAATCAGCTGATTGCACAAATGTAATTTTTATGCACATATAGGGTCTTTGGTAATTTTACCTTATTGACCCTATTGACTAGATTACCCCATATTTGTAGAACATTATTGATGATCATACATTTCTACCTCAATAACTAATGGAGATGTATGCATCATTAAGGCTAACATTGACCTTTTTCTTTATTTTGACTCAGAAATGTCGACTCATGTTAACAAACATTTGTTTGATCAATGGAGATTGTTACTGGGTCTATTCAATACCCATTTAAACAACTGCATGTAGACTTTGCCAGTCTGTGCATCTCGATAGCCACTGGGCTCAAAATGGCCTCCTAACAACAAATAATTTTTTTAAGTAGATGTGTAAATCCAAATGAAGTCAACACAGTGTCATTTTAATCAAAATGGGATTTAGATCAATAAGATATTTAGAAACAATGTGTAGTAATTACTAACAAGTTTAGCATTTTAATGAGGCACATGGTTCATGTCTTAAAGGGATACTTTGTATATTCATTTGCATAGTGTGCACTTAACCAGGCATCTTCATATGCTAATACATAACGTGTAAATGAGTTGGCCCACAGTCTGTTGAAATGTAAATATCCAGATAATGTTTAGTAATGGAGAGATAGAATAAAATTAAAATGTAATAAATGTTCACAAGCTAGTGATTGGTGGAGAGGACACCAATGGGGAGGTGAGGTCATTTAGATTACATCATGGTTGCAAAGGGAATAGTTAATGAAAATAAGCCAATTACAGGTAAGGCCAATAAACAAGCCCACCAGGAAGGTGGGGCTTACATATATTGTTGAAGTGCTCCCCTCACTCTCTCAGAATCACTGTCTTCAGAGGAGATTCTTCTCAATCCTGACTCTTCCTAGCATCTTCCTGCTCTCTCACAGCCCATCATTCTGCAGGCCATCACTCTGGTTTCCAGATAAGGTTTGAATGAGACACACATACAAGCCTTTCTTAAATTTGATCTCTAGTCTAGAGGCCTTCTCCAAAGATTTTACCTGCAGCTCTGTTCCCAGCGCAGAATTTACTTCAGCAACCTTGAAGAATTCTAAGAAGAACTCTCTGAAAGCCAAGTTAGCCAACAGATAGGTTCACCACAAGAACCATGAATAAAAATTATCTTTATACCAACCAAGGAGATGGTGATCTACGAATACTTCCAACTGGACATGAAAATTATCAAGAAAATATGCAAGATGTTACTGGCATGGGCCATCCACCTTACTCACAGAATAAGCAAGACTATGACTACAACGTAATTCAACGAGATGACGGGCAGTGTCCACCTCAGAAGAGAAACTTAATGAACCAATTCCCTCACTACTATAATGGCCCTACACAGCCTAATGCTTACTACACAATGAATTCTGGACAGCCATGGATACCACCACTAAACCAAAATCAAACACCTGACTACCTAAATCAAGTATCTCCCCATGAAGCCGCCAGTCCTGTAAGCATGAATCGGCCCACTTCCCCACAGGTCATGTCCAGTGCTGCTCAAGCGGGGCAAATCAAGTACCCCATGCTCCACTACCAAAAACCTTCACCAGCTATGGATGAAAACTGCACGCCTATGAGTACCATATCCAGTGCTGGAAGCTGCACCAGTGCAAGTACTATATCACAGGCATCCACTGGAAGCGAAGACTCAGATGTTGTGGTGAGTACATACTAATCAAAACTCATGTACTGTTTATATATGTGGTTTCTTCAGCCAGCAACATGTTTGTACCACTTTGAGATTTATTTATTTTTGTGCTGGTAACATTTACTTTTCAAATTTCTTATGTAATAGGAAACCTAAATGTTGGAGATAGTTTATGGTTTTATTGTCAAAGTATCAATGGCTATTTAGTGAAAAGTACACTTTTTTAAAGGACATTAAAGTAGAAAGTAGTGGATATGCAAAAATGTGGCATTCTTGCTTTAATGTCTACATTTTAATCTTGTTTATAGTAAACGTAATGTTGTGATGGTTTGACACCTGAAAAATGTAGGCCAACATTTGGAAAAGGGGAAAAAATATTTCAGATATTCTTATTTGGAGAACTTTTCAAGCTTGCCACTTTCATCCAATTTTTTCACTTCACTTGTCGATTTAGTTCAACTCACTATTTAATGAACAAATGTGTCTTTTCATTCTACTTGGTATATAGCTGTAACAGGTGTGGAACACATTAGATTATGGCTGTCCATTAGGATTTTATTGTGCAGCCTGTATATGGAAAACAATGGCATATTTCATATTGTCTAGTGATACTTTAACCTATTTTCTGCCAATATGAGCTCAAATCCTAGATGAGGTCTACTTTATCAATAAATAAATAGGGGGAAATTGTAGTTCAAATAATGTTGGCTCCAAGCAGAAAACTGTGACGATTGCAATCTGAGTGTACATACATATATGCTTACCCCAAACTTCCATCTTGTAATTTGTGCTTCGGTATAGTTGGTATATAATTGCACTCATAACATTAGTATATAACATATTCATATCACAAACTATTACTGTGGTTGATGTTTTCCTGGAGATCTGGACATTTGTAGCTGTTGTGCTCTAAACACTTTCAAAATAATTTTGTTTTTATTTTAAGTACTGTTTTCTTTAACCTCAAGTTTAAAACTTACTCCTTACATTCACAGGATAACTCGAGCATGAGTGAGCTTGAAGAATTTGCCCATGATGTTAAAAAGCAGAGATATGCGTTGGGTTTAACCCAAGAAAATGTTGGGAACGGACTTGGAGTTTTATACAGTAAGTTTAGATTAAAAAAAAGTTACCAAGACATTAATTTAAATAAATCTAAGAAAGATATGATTTATTTTTAGCCAGTTTGTAAAAAAAAAATCAACAAATAAAAATAAACTTATATTTTAAAGGGAAAATCGGGTATTTTAATTACAGCAAGTATAATTATCTAAATATATATTATTGATAAATTATTATTTTTTTTTTATGTATGAATGGATGGATTTCCTATTCTATATATTTTCTTTGATAAATACACTCTGAGCCTTTGAGAAAGCATATTAACTTGTTTTCACACTTTGGTACGATGAGATGCAATATGGATGTTATCCCTGAATTTGATGGCATGTAGTAACCTTTGATTTCAATCATGAGCTCAACATTTGGAAATATAAGATAATGCAAGGTCAAAGATAGGAAATTCATGGAAACATGCACCGGGATACAGTTTCATTGTTCCAAAGAATCATGTTTGCATAAAATGCTCATTGTAGGTTGCAGTTGCAATGTCAAAGTGCTGTCAACATAAATTGCAAAAAGCATAAGCCAATAACGTAATCAAAGAAGTTTTTCATATCAATCATAATATTACCATTATTACTATATTCATTGATTTGGTGATAAATAATAAGAGAGTTTATTTAAAGCCAGAATACCTAGACATCACATAACAGACAAACCATCTACTTTGTTACAGATAAATCATTTAGCCAGACAACAATTTCAAGGTTCGAGGCTGTCCAACTGTCCCTTACTAATATGCGGAAACTGAAACCAATGTTGAAGAAGTTTTATGATGAAGTTAAAACAAATCCAGCTATCCTCCAAGTAAGTAAAACACTTTCTAATTTTAAAAGCATGTACTGGGACTTATATCCTAAATATTTATTTATATCAAGTTTACCATGTTGTCAAAATTCAACTATTATCAGCAGTGTAATTAATTGTACTAAAACAACAATAACCACGCATCTCCCAACATTGGGAGGTATGGAATTGGGAAGCAGGTAGATTAGCCCTATGGGCATGGTCAGTGACGTGTGTCAGTGGTGATGCCCACAATGGACGAGCCTGCCTGTAAAGGGAGTGGGTTGGCCCATTGAAGTGGTGTGTCAGCGTTGTGTCAAGCACGCCAAGCTGACTGTCAGCATCTATAGCCGGAAGACCAAGGTAGGCATCCATTGATAATCAAGATGGACTGTATCTACCATGACGGATTGCCAAAATTATGGATGTATGAGCATTGTGGGCGATGTAGTCCACAACATCTGGAGTGCCACAGGTTGCCTTTCCTTGTAGTAGACCATGCAGATAGTATTGCTAAAGCACGTCTAATGATGCACTCTCTCTGTGCTACACAGGGACAGTCCCTTCTTCACAACTGCACTCAAAACACTGCAGACATCAGTGTTTAGCTTTAAGAGAGCTACTGAGTTCGGGGTTATAGCAATATAACCATGATTTTTTACTTATTATTATTATTATTATTATTAATAGGCCATTATTATCATCACTTAGGACATGTGTGGCATGTCAAGTAGAAACATATCATAAAGGGATACTGTAGGCACCCAGACCACTACAGTTTATTGAAGTGGTCTGGGTGCAATGACCCTTATGCATTTGCTGCAATGTAAAATAGCTCTAAGTCTGCCCACAGTAACTGTCTACCAGACAGCCCCTAGAAGGCTTCTTGTATTGAAATGGACCTTTGGTCTGGTATCTGACGCTGGACATCCTCACTCTCTGCATGAGGACCTCTAGTGTCAGATTTTTCCTCCTAGGAAAGCACTGATTCAATGCTTTCCTATGAGGGAGGTCTAATGCAGAGGTCTAACACCTTTTGCGGGCCATCAGAAGGGGCGATCCAAGACCCAGCGCCGAGGGACATCAGTGCTTGGAAAAGATGAGTAAATAAAGGGTTTTTAACCCTTTTATTCACCCATGTGGGGGTGGGGGAGGGCGCGAGGGAGGGAGGGTAGAGGCAGAGGGAGCTACAGTGCTAGGAATGCAGCTTTGTATCCCTTTCATTTTAAAAAGTAGGGAATGGGTATATGACTACAGAAAGTTTAATAAATCACTGCTGCTGTAGTATTATGATAAAAGGAGGTATAGAGCCCTTTGCAGTATACTCAATGCAAGGTGTACAGGTAGCTATGGTGCTTGGGGTGCTTTTGTGTTACAAATTGTGGATTTTTTTCTTTTGAAATTTGTTAATCTACTAGATTGGAAAGAAATTTAATTCTGTGATTAACAGGTTTTTCTTTGCATTTTTATTTTTTTCTTGCATCGCACAAGGTTGTTGAAAAAGGAGAAAAGCCGAACAACTCTGTAAAAAGACAAAAACGCACATTCATTGATAAGGCGACAAAGCAAAAGTTAGAAGAGAGTTATAAGCATGTCCCTCATCCCAGTAAAATGGAAATCGGAAAAATTTCAAAAGGAAGTCAGCTAGAAATTGAGGTAAGTACTGACGATAAGAAGACTTATATCAACTACATTGACATGAAAATTTACAGTTATTTACTAAAGTGAGAATTCAGAGTGAATTCAAATTGAGCTTCAGATTTAAAGTGACACTACAGTCACCAAAACCACTACAGCTTAAAGTGGTTATGGTGTCTATAGCCTGTCCCTGCAGGCTTTCTAATGTAAACACTGGCTTCACATGCATACCATACACACAGACACTGCATCTACTACACACATTGGATCCACTACACAAACACACATTCTGCATCCACTCTACAAACACAGACACTGCATTCACAACACACACTGCATAACATAATGGATGTGGGTGTGTTTTGATGGGTATGGCTTGAGGGGGGGCAGCATTTCCTCCTTGGACCAAGAGAGCACAATGTCTTGGGCCAGCTCTCAGTTAACTGTTATAGTAACCATCTTGTGGCTGTCATTTTAAAAATGAGTTCTAGAGATTTGACTACCAGCACGCACAATTTGGGTAAAAGAAGACTCTATAATTTAATGCCAATTGATCATGTCTCCAATGATGCCTTCCAAACCATAGATTTCTAAAGAGTTTTTTTCTACTCCGCTATTTTGGCCAAACATTTCTCTGAAATCCCTTTTTCAATTTTTACAAATTTCCAGTTTAATAAAGAATCCTAAATGTTTTAGCTGGGACTAGAGACAATCTTTCTCGCTGGTACAAAAGTGAATCTTTTAATGTATGAATTATTTATATTATGAATTTCCCAAATGTTTTGCTCTGCATAAATCAGACTTGGTACTTGTGTATTATGTCTGTTTAAATGTGAATAATTTGTTAATAATTTGACCATCCCATATAAGATAATTAGAATCCTTCGCATAAGATGAATAATTTCTTTACTGAAAACCCATTACTTTCATTATTTATCAATAGGTTGTTAGAACATGGTTTTGCAACCGTCGCCAGAAGGATAAAAAGGAACTGAACAAACTACTGAAAGAGGCCCTAGCATCTGGTAACTTTGCTCAACCTATTCCAGGTCCTAACACAGGAACCTGTGCCATGCCACCAGTGGAAGTACCCCAACCATGCCTAATTGATATTACTGGATCAAATCGTACACCTTATATGGCAATAAACGATTACAATAGACAATTCATCCAATATGCCCCATAAAGATTGCCTTCTGGAAACCATACTTGGTACACCATGTTATATCCATATTTCTATTTTCCTCTTTTTACAGATAAACCTCTCTTTTGAGCATTAACCCATCTTGATCACTCTTACTTCAGTTTAATGTTGTAGCCTTAACCCTACCACTTTGATTCCCTGTCATCATAATTAAATCTTCATTCTTATTCACACCTTATATAAAATTAATCGCCAAATCCTGCCCACTGCATCGGAAATTCACCATATCTGACACAAGGTGAAACAAAAACTCCATGCATTTCAGTAGGATCAGTTTACACCTTACTCTCTGTAACCTATTCAAACCCTGCTTCTACTCCATAAAATCTATTACAAGCTGCACTTCCTCTCTGTCAATGACCTTGATATCTATTATGCTTCTCACCTCATCTCCAATATCTTTCAACCTCATGTCCTTTATTACAAGAATTTACTCTACACCTACAACTCGCTGGACTTCTCCTTAAGACTGTGTAGTTGAACATAGGTTGTACGGTTGACAATGCACTTTCCATATATGTATATCTAAAAAGAATAAAAAAGAATAAAAAATAAATAAGTTTGTTTGTCTCTTTGTTTGGACCATGACTTTTGTGAATTTATGCAAATATTTTTGGAGTTGGACACTTCTTTACTATCATATACTGAGCTTCAAACCAAACCTTTTCTTTTGTGTAGGGAGTCTATCCAGTAAAGAGTGAATTACGCTGAATGTAGAAAAAAGCAAAAAGATAAAGTGGCCCAGTGCAAAATAAATATTTTCAACACTAAAAAATAATCATATAAGTGTCATAAAAACAATATATTCTGTGCATCAACCATTCAAATCATGGCAAAAGATATACTAAAATAATATAAAACTGGTGCTCATAAAATATCTGCCATATTACAAAATATACCAATGTACCAAAGTGATATGCATATACCTTATCAACTGTTATAACCACCAATCTTAAAGTGGTATAGTTCATGAAAAGAGATACTAAAGTAGAATGTGTGGTCACAACAATCTTATAAAACACACACAAATACCTGTTACAAAACACTGCATTTACTGAATGTTCAATCACTTTGCACAATGAGGGGTAAGATGGTGAACTTGATCTTAGTTGCTCTATTGCTGCAGAGTGTGTAGATTATGGGTGCTAGGGGGAGTCCAAGTTTTTCTAAAACTCCTAATCCACAGTTTGTCTTAAAACCATAGACTTATGGCACCTTAATCACTATAATGAACTGTAGGTAGTGTGTGGGATTCATCCGGTTCGCACCGGTTTGCACAAACCTGTTACTAAAATTTGACTGATGTGTCGGCTGCTCGGTCCACGACTGAGGGCCGACACCAGGAGGGGGCCCGGCAGCTTCTCCTGTATGCCACCGGATGCAAGGCCCCACCGTGTAGTCTGCCAGCACCTCCGGTCTGCAGCTCCACCGAGTGCAGAGCTGCAGACCATGGAGTAGAGATCTCACGATCTCTGGCTACTCACAGCATTGCCGCACGTTACAAAATGGAGCTTGCGAGATCTCTACTCCATGGTCTGACCAGAGCTCGCAAGGTCTGACTGGAGCTCTGACTGGAGCGGGGATAGAGTCTTGGTCTCAGGCAGCACAATGTCTTGGGCCGACCCTGTGGAGTTGGAAACATTTGAAAAGTCAGAACTGGCTACTACATTTTTAAAACCCACTACTGGCTGCAGGTTATATAAAGCTTAGATTGCCCCATTAAGTCTACCATTAATTAAAATTAAGAATCTGGTTCCCATTTAAAATAATGTGCAGAAATGGAACAACCCAATATTAATGATGTGAGTTTGCATTAGGGAGTCAGTGTTCTAATGTCACTTGCAAAAATAATTATATACAATAAAAACCAAAGGGAAAAAAGTTACTTGTGCACTATACCAAATCCCTATTTACATTTAAATAACTGGAGGTTTTTTAGTATCACTCCAATGGCCATTAGGTGTAAACTCACTTGCCAAATCAAGACAAACCTCTTAGGTGAGTCCTACACTAACAATTCACCTTGCTGTTCTCAGCTAGAAGGTAAAAAAATGTCTAATGAGACAGGGAGGTTTTTCTTTTTCTAAACCCCTACACACTTATTAACCCTTAATAGGGAACACATAGGGTGTACAGCAGCACAGTAATATGGCTGTGTAATAATAAAGCAAATACAAATATACAAAAATAACTCCCGGGGCCAGGCGATGCCGGGCCGACCAGACGCCATTGGCGGGAGCTCCTGCGCTAAGCTGATAAGGAAGGCACTGAAACAATCGCCCCAGACTGCCTAGGTTTACAGTGTTCCGTCAGATCCGAGCGGAAAGCGGCACCAGCTTGCCCCCAATGCCCGCACGATGCCCACCGCAGGCCAGGCAAGTAGAGAGGGCTGGGCCTGGACTACACGAGGCGGAGCGCCAGAATGCCAGCGACCATTGCATGCAGTGCGGCGCTGCGGAGCGGAGAACCACCGAGGCATCCCGCTATGGACACCTCGACAGGGGGAGATGCTCAGCCCGGGGCACAGCCTTGCCCCCCCTCCCCTTTTGGCCGACGGGGGATATCCCAGCTTCCAGGTAGAGGCACGGGTCGCAGTGGGAGTACCTGCGCAGTTCGGATGCTGACCGCCTGCACTGGCACCGTCTGCATGAAACTCAGCCAGCCAGCAACATCGGAGGTGCCCGCGGAGGGGCTGAAACACCCACCCAAGGAGGCACCCAGATCGGGAGCAAGAAGGCTTGGACCCACACAGAGATAGCCCCATTACTGGCAAGAGTACTCCTTAAATGCATCACCGCAACATCAGAGTGGTAAATGTGGAGAGCGCTAACTATGGAGGCCTGTACTGGACAGCCATGAGCCCGGTGGGGCGGGTCTGCGCGGCCCCTCCGGCGGACCGCGGTCGGGGGGACGCGCGCCGGCTCCAAGCACGTGGCTGGCACCAGATGAGACAGCAGGTAACACGCTCCTCTGAGTCCTGGATCTTGGGTGGTGATGGGGAGGTCCAGGGAGAGGGGGCCTGTGGACTCTAGGTGTGGGAGTCGTATGGACAGCCCCTGCTCCCGAGTGCCCACAAAGCTACAGAGGACCCTGGAGACGGACTGGGGTTATTGCGGGGAGGACAGACGGAGACTCGGCGGCCCAAGAACGGCATGGCAGCTGTGCAATGAGCGGCCCTCAGTGAACTGATCTTAAGGACAGATCAGCCCTGTAACCGCTAAAGGCATTAAAGCTCTCAATTGACTTTAATTGCTCCCCTTTGGGTTTGATTTCATATTTTTTTTTCTCCACCTGTACTGCATAACTGCTTGTTTGAGTGTCTCTAGCATGTTTAGTTGGGCGAACCTTAACCGAGTAGTAAAATATGGAGCCCTTAGTTGATCCTAGGCACTGTTGCACTGCACCCACGCTAGATTTAGTGAATTGACCCATGCTACCAGGCCGACATAACCCTTATGCAATAAGAGTCTCATAAGCTTAGGTATTGCTCAGATGAATATAAAGCCCGCACAATGCGTTCTTATACCCGCTAAACACCCACGATATAACAAATCCCGCAACGTTTATGTACATTTATTTTACTTCATTGCTTGTTTATTTAACTACGTATAAGGCTACACATGCTGAAAGTTTTGTCTTTACGCATTTTTTAAATTCATGATTGATGTGAACATTTTCTCACTCTGTCACATAGATACTGTTTCAGTTGTCTAGTTACCAGCATAAATTGCACAAATTGTTTTGCTTAGAAATGCTAAAATGCCCCTAAGAGGCTAAAGTTTACTGTTAATTGCTTACGCAATAAGCTTTTTACGTCACTGCTTAATTGACATATACTTAAGTGACTCTTCGCATCAGCTTCAGAATGAATAGGCTATCCATTATAGTTTACCTAAATAGTCAGGCGATTGCATTATACGACGTATACCAATTTGCTTAAATCTAAACACAGAAAAAACCATGCTCAATGAGGTACATATATAGGCTATCAGCTCTGATGATTATGCACTCACTTCGTGGCATGCTTATCTTGTGATCAATTGGCCGCTGTCATAATGTTAATAGATGGGATTTTTCATTGCATCGAGTCATGTGGTTCATGTAAATTGTATTGAATAGTCTCTACTTAACCAGAGATCTTCATATGCTAATAAGTAGAATAAAAATGAGGTGGCCCACAGTCTTTGAAATGTAAATATCCAGATACTGTTGAGTACTGGGTAGAGAGAATAAAATGAAAAAGTAAAAGATTTCTACAGGTTAGTGGAGATGAAATCAATGGTGGGTCACATTTTTTTAGATTACATCATTCATGGTCTTTTTAAACTGCACTGATACAATGTCATGTTGGTTGTGAGCAAAATAAATAATTGGCTTAATAGCTTTTTTTTTGTCCTAAACAGAATCTAACTTTAATTGTATTCTGTGCCTTACGGCACACACTATTTTGGTTTTTCCTTTTCTCCTACATTTCTGGAGGGAAAAGACCACCATGTATACTTACAAGTGGGCACTGCACTATAATATCCTAAGCCCATGCCCACAGAGCTGCTAATGTTTCCATCATTTGAGTGACCGCAACCACCAAAAACCACATTATATCCATAGGTGGGTATTGTTCCGCCCAGGCGTTCAAGTTGGAGCTATAATTTTAGCTCCAGGAAATTGTGAGTGTGTTTCTTTTGTTTTATTTTATTTTATTTTATTTATTTGGACAGTGACATACTACACTATATTTGTTTTCTTTCTCTCCCTGCTTTTATATATATATGTTTTTAAGGACACTTTAGGTGCTGCACCACTCCTTGTACTTTCATCTGTTTGTGGACGGGACAAGAGACCCCAGCTCCAGGGATTTAGCTGCCATTTGGGCTGTTCCAGTTATTGCTTAGCACTGAATACCCTTTAGCTTTTTCCATTGAAGTGGTGTGTCAGCCATGTGTCAAGCACGCCAAGCTGACTGTCAGCATCTATAGCCAGAA